TTCAGATAAAAATTTTCAAATTCATTTTCCGTTTTTACAAATAATTAAGTAAGGTCTTTCTAATAATCATCAAAAATTTGAACTTTAGTTGTCGAGATACAAGACAGAGTTAGAGCTCCAAACCTATATTATGTAGAGTTCGTGTCATGTTTTGTTTACTTTGGGAGAGGGGCAGTATTTTACATTTTGTATTTTTATCTCTTGTTTTAGTAACCGTGGCAATTAACACATTTTTATTAAAATATGTCATGAAATAACTAACAGCGAAGTTTGACTCACATGTTTTATTTTGGATACTCAGTATATTACTATAAATGAAGAAAAATCATAAATACAGAAATAAGTTTCTTCATTGCTACAAAGTTACATTTACAAGTTTTGGCATGAAAATACAAGTCTACTATCTCGTTTGCATAGACAGCAATATTTACTTAGAATGAAAAGTATTTTTACCACAAAAATGATAAAAATATACCATAAAATCTAAGTCTGGCTAGTTGTATTTGGCGCTCTGATCTCATCCCACTTGTATATCTATGGTTCAGTATTTTGTCCCTGTAGTTATATTATTTAGATCAAGAAATGTAATTGGAAGGAAATTAGGAATGTGGAAGGAGAAAATTATAATTCTAAATTTATATTTCAAATACATTTTATCCAATAAATTTCCTCTTATCAACTTTCCACACTTTAATGTTTCATTTTTTCTCTCAGTGGTCTTAAGCTGGTCCTCTCATTAAATCAAGTCTTAGAGAAAATAAGTTTAAAAAGTACATTGAAATTTTATTCATTTCATTATACAAGTTTTCGAGGGGCGTAGTCGTTAGTGTTTGCTTTAGATTCGGAGAGAAGAGTCGAAGAGTGTACCCTGGGTTCAAATGTACTGTATGTTACGTGGATACCGGTTTTTATCACTTGAACCGATGTCTCGTTTTGCAGTACATAAGATCCCTAGCTGCTCAAAGACCTAAGTTCTGAGTACAGGACTAAATTCGTAACTCTCTACCGGCGTCTAAAAAAAATGCAAGAATGATAAATAAGCAATCACAAAATACTAAAACTGTTTGTTTTTGTTTAACGTCCTTCACATTTCACTCATATCATGAGACACAATGCACCACTTTCCGGCGGAGCTGCAAATTTTGACCTATTTGTAACACTCAAGGCCATCGAGAAGTGAACAATATATTTTGTGCCAGCATCTACTTCGACAATGGACCTCGGTTTAAACGGTCTTATTCGAGGTACTGGCCTGGAGGCCATAAATCCTAGACGAGCTCACTTTTGATCTCAGTCTCACTTTTTCCAAAGGAATTAATAGTGGAAAAGTGAGGCTGAGATCAAAAGTGAGCTCGTCCAAGTTTTATGGCCCCCCAGGCCAGGTCCCCGCGTCCCACAGTAGGATTCGAAAACGCGACTTAAGAATCATCTCGGAGCCTTAATCCGGGACTCTCGAGCATTACATGAAAATTATTCATATATATGGAATGAGATAAAATGTAACGAAGTTTAGTTGAAGGACCTTAAGTTTTTGCAGTTTCAAATATGTAGAATGTTTCCTTACTGCTCTCTTAAGAAAATTATAATGAAATACCATGGTGCCCGGTTTTTTTTTTCCAACGGGATACAAGGTGGGCTATCTGTTGAACGGGTGCGCCAAATACAACTAAACCTACATTTTGCTCGTGTTGACATTTCTTCTGGATTGATTTTCAGATCCATTATAGTCACAGTCCTTTCCAACATGACGTACATTTATTTTTTCTTGGTGTGGAACGCTAACATCTTGTATATTGTTGGGTGCGGGAGATGAAGTCATAGAACAGTTAGAAACATTGACTGCATCTGGGATATAGATTTCAATTTCTGAAATGGCCCGATCGCTTTCAGGGTTTTTCTGACCACAAATGACTATCAAGCGATATAGTAGCAACAACATTACCAGAGCGTTTTTAGCGGTAAAGAAAATAATAGCATAGTTTACAAGATGGTATGTGATTATAACAAATAATCTGATCGTCAAGAATGGACCATCTTGCATACACATTGTTACCATGGTGCTCCAGACTTCACTCGAAACACATTTCTCACAGCCTCCCTTTCGTCTTCGTTTTGAAGTGCTTGGGCCAGTTTCTTCATCGGTGTCATGAAGCGCAACGCGGGGTTTATTAGAATTCTTGGTCGCAGTTAACACGAAACAAAACTGCACTAGGCTGATGGTCCAGATAATCAATATGGCGTAGGTCAGTTCGAGGTTTTTACGAACAACATCTTCATCAAATAAGGTGAAGAACTCTGTGATATCTGAGGCTATTCCAATGAAGACAAACAAAAGCTGGGAAAGTTCATTTCTCGAAATTGTTCCTCGCGGTAAAAGCCATCTTCCAACGATCATAAAATAAAGTAGAAATTGCTCTATCAACAAAACCCAAGTGTCTGCAGGTAACGAAATAGGAATGGAAACCTAAAATGTGTATATAAGTTATGGATTCATTTGCTATGTAAACTATGTGCAATTTAATAAGATCAGACCTATAAAATTAACTTACACCAGGATAGATTTCGGCTAAAGATTCCGTTGCCGTAGCGTTGTTTACTCCTTGCTTGACAGCCACATAACGCTCTCGTCTGTCCAACTCCAAAAGCCAGATAGAAGGAAGAGTTCCTCCGAGGTAGAAAAAGAAACACGGACAAAACCTTTAACAAAAAAAAACAAGCAAATTCAAAGAATTGTGGTCCCCCGCTTTCGGTGTCTTTTTGGGTGAGATGTCATTTTTTATGACATTTTGTGTCTAGTATGAACGCCCCATCATAAGTCATCTATTTAGAAATTATTACTGAACTCCAAGGTCAAGGTCAAAGGGTTAACGTTCTTGGTATCTAATGAAAAGTCTTCTCAGAAGGGTTACATATGTGAAGTATGAAAGCCCCTAGCCCTTACCATTCAAAAGTTATGGTCAAGGTTAAAGTTTTCTCATAAGTACAAAAAATCTCCAAGGTCAAGGTCAAAAGGTCAAGGTTGTTGGTATCAAATGAAAGGTCTTGCCACAAAGAATACATATGTGAAATACGAAAGTCCTGGTATCTACTGTTCAAAAGTTGTGGCCAAGATCAATGTTTTTCAAAAGTAGGCCAAACTTCAAGGGGCAAAGTTCTTGGTATTCAATGAAAGGTCTTCTCACACGAATTATATATATGAAGTATGAAAGCCCTAGCCCTTACCATTCAAAAGTTATGGTCAAAGTTAAAGTTTTTTCATAAGTAAGGAAATCTCCATGGTCAAGGTCAAGAGGTCACGGTTGTTGGTATCCAATAAAAGGTCTTGCTACAAAAAATACATATGTGAAATATGAATATGATACCATTCAGAAGTTATGGCCAAAGTAAAAGTTTGGATTTTTCGTGTAAAAGTGGATCAAACTCCAAGGTCAAGGTCAAAAGGTCAAATTTGGTGGTACCCGAAGAAAGGTCTTGTCACAAGAAATACACATATGAAATACGAAAGTCATAGCTCCACTAAATCAAAAGTTATGGGCAAGGTTAAAGTTTTTGTGACGGACGGACAGACAGACAGACTGACGGACAGACGAATGAGATTTAATGTCCCCTCGCTTTCGCGAAAGCGGGGGACAAAAATCAAACACAATAACGTGAAATCGTGAGACACTTGACTGGTTCCAAAAGAAGTTGTCAACTTGAACGTTTATGTATATCCAGGAAACTTAAATGTTAAATTTTGATTCATCAATACAACTAGATATTAATTTATTTATTTTAGTGATATTTGGAGTTCAATTCTTGGAAATACATTGTACTTTCGGCATAAAATTGTTCGAATCATTCGATTGTCACTACTGTAAGCAATGCCCTGTGCCCCCAGTAATCTCGCGAGATTTAGAGCTTTCTCGACTCACCCGCAAAAGAGCGGTAGTAAGTTAGATAACTGCGAGGTATGTAATGGCCTAACGAATAGTATAAAAAAGTTGGTCAGCATTTAACTTAATCTGTAAGATATAAACCCTGAATGCAAGTGATAAAGGGTACTTAGTACATAGCTGCATAAGTAGGGAAAGTTGACGATTGAAAGGTTAAAACATCACGTTTACCATAAAGCTTTGTTGTAAAATTACCATTAACGTCTTTTTTCTAGAAAAATATCCAAATAAGACGCAGATTTCAGACTCTGTGGTATCATTTATTTCAAGCTCACCTGGATAGACAATTGTTAATTGTTAGTTGTTAACCATCGATATACCTTAATGTCGAGTTAAAGGCAGTAGGAAGTGTTTTCTTCTCTTCACGTATAAGATTGTGAACAAATTATGCTTGATATCAATACAAAAATAGGTCTGTAAATAACGGGGCAAAATTGGTACCCATGGGAATTCCATTAAATTGTTGGAAAACTAAAAGCCATGCGTGTATAATGTCAATCAGAAACTCAAGCATCTTCTTGATATTAACCTAAGAGTACTTATGTGTACAATGTTTGAAGGATAGATAGATTTAATTGTCGATTATTTATAAACAAATTCTTTATTAACAAGGAATAACATAGACAGTTTGAAATATAATTTATGTAGTAATACCTAAGTCCTAGTCATCGTTAGTTAGAAAAGGTACATATAGAAAATGTAGACAAACTTCGAATTTCGTGGAGGAACGTCATAGGGATTTACACTGTAGGTATAAAATTTTAGACAAAGTTGAGAGCATGGAACAGACTATAAACTACTCCAGACTTTGTTACATCCTTTATATATTAATTTAAAGGCTCTGTGTCAAATAAGGAAAATGTATATAACAATTATTCTATGAGATATTCAACAAACAACACTATTATTATCTTAGTTTACTGAAGCACCAAACACTGGAAACATCATGGATAATGGACCAGGTATCTTTTATAAACTAATTCTTAAATTTCAAAAATCGATGAATATATTTGTACTTCCAAAATTAACTATACTTTGTAAATGATTGTTTGAAATTGCCTAAAATGTTTAGCACAATGCATAACTACTGCCCATACTCAGAACTTCTGGTCATGGTAGAACATCCTTTTTCATTATTGAATGAAATATTTGCATTCCTAATGCATTCAATAATTGATTCTTTTTCTGGATTTGAAAAACGCATTAGCAATTTGTTTCGGTTAAAACGTTAAGGTTGTATTTATGTACTTAAGCATAATCCGGACGGTCGATGTCGTCCGGCAAGACATAATGGTGTTTGTGTATAGAATACGGGTCATTCACAATTGTCCCATTTTTATAAATATCGTATTGTGGCATGTCAAAGGTAGCCGTCTCCCCAAAAAAATTCATTGGTTGGATTAAAAATCCACGTGTCGCTCCAGTTGTCATGGGGAAATCTTCAGCACTTGGGAGGTGAAGAAAGTGTACGGAGATCCACGTGACCAGGTCAGAGTTGACGATGTCTTCGTCATCAAGAAAACTTTCTAAATTATGAATTGGGTCATGGAGTCTTTGTTTGTCGTATTGAAAAGAGTCAATGAACTGTTCATCATCATGGTGTTTTGACACCGCTAAGTTGTATTTCATATGAGGAAGAGCAATAAGCGCTGGATGATCCGGAGGAAGCACTTCCTGATACTCTTGAGTGTGTTCGATTTTCACGCCAAGAAAGTTCCCCCATTTATTTTGCTTATTCTCGTTAATTATCGACCAAACTACTGGTTTAGATTCTACCACTAAACCTTTTTCTTTACTTAATGTTTCATACTCTAAATATCTTGTAAATTTGGAGGTAACACCGGGTATATCTGACGATCTTCTGTTCGTCTGACTTCTAATGGCCTCTGATATCGTCCCTCCTCTCCAATGTATCTTTTCAAATGTATTAGTACGCCCAGCTACGTCAATATCGACCTTAAATGCAAAGAGATGATCGTGGATACTTCCCATTGAATGCTCTGCAACTCTGTTGCCAAATTGGGTCCTTGATTTTTTAGAGCCAACCGTGTCATCATCTTTAAACCAGAAAGCCGTATACAAACTCCCATAGGCAGTTGCGTACGTCCATATCTTTCCGTCAAGATGAAACTGGAAGTCAATCATATAATCATAGTTCCCAAGCCCTAGTGGGATGCGGATATTAAGATAGTTATCGTTCATGCCGCTGTTAATACGCCCATTATGCCGCCACAATGGGCGTTGTCCATCAGCTTCGAACACACAGATGCCTTCTCTAAGGGAGGGAATTTGTCTTCCTTCACTAAATGTTGTAACATTCAGTATAGTAGCGTGCTCAGGACAGTCAAGACTCTGAATGATATTCGGAAAACTACCCAGACGAAATATCATGTCGCTCAAAACTGTCAAAGTTGAACCTGCTCCAGGGTTCAAGGACGAGTAGAGAAGGGTTATGTCGTTTAACGAATTCTCGTAAACTATTCGTTCTCCTTTGTAGCGAATGTTGAAAATAGATGGTCCGTGATAGTTGTTCATCGATAGTTCTAATGACCAACCCATCCACTCAACAAGATAATCTGTCACTTTATATCTTGGTCCCTGTGGTTCGACAGTCTTTGGAGGTCTTTTCGACGCATTTTTACGCAGTGGTTGGTTACTTTTCTTGCTATAATCTCGAGAAGTTTTAATATGATCAATATATCCTTTAGGCAAAGTAAATAATGTAAGACTCCCATTATTATATGCATCCAACAGTTCATCCACACTTACAAAGGGGCCTTGGCGGAAGAAGAATATGTCATGAACTTTCCATTCCTCCCAGTCGAGACTTGCATGGGATACGGTCGCAGAAATAGGGAGAATATCGGAGGTGGAAAGTCTTCCAGGAATACCAAGGAACACAACAGACTTTCGTCCTTTCTGAGAACTCACCGAGGAAACAAAGACGCGTAAACTTTTATCATTATGGTGTACAGCGCTCACTGAACCACCATCGAAACATTTCATAAACAGATCATTCAATTTCGAAAATTCCAATGACGCCACACTTTGGACTGTTAACGCTTCCTGGGAGCTGCGAGGTCGACGCTCGTGGTTGGTAACAATACGTAAAACTTTGTGTGTCATTTTTGGCTGTCGTAATGGTCCTATCTGATATTCAACGAAATATGGAGGAACTTCCTGTGCCTTGTCCACGTAAACTCTTGCGTATCTCCCAGGGTAAGGTCCATTTTCGTCCAGATAAGACAGCACCGCTTCCTTACTCGGAATCATAACGGAAAGGCTTATTATTTTGTTCCTTTTCAAAAATGGTATTAATAATTTTGCTTTAGGGTGATACTTTTTTGTGATATTTGTCTCTAGACAATAGTCTAGAATAGATTTCATTTCATCCATTGAAAGTGGGGAGAATACCGACGGTGGATCCCTCCGTCCAAGGAGAGGGTAGGGGTGACTATAGGATGCCGTGTCATCCCTCTCGGTGTGGATTACACGTCCTACGAAATACCCTGCCCCCAGTCCTACGACCAGAGACAGGAATATGGCTAACGTATATCGCCATGTCCGGGAGAAACAACTTTCATCGTGAAATGTAACTGCTGGTAAATTATTCGAATCCCTGTCTCTCTGATTTTCTGAAACACCATTCCTTTAAAATAAGGATATTTGAATAGTAAATTTTCAGGCTGATTTAGAGAAATGTTTACAACGTATTTATGGAGACCTACCTTTTCATGCTTGGTATATCTTGTCAACAAACACTCCGAGTGATGCAAATTGACGGAAATGCAAAACTACCCACGGCGGTCTACCTCATTATACATAGAATATTTGATTAAACTTGGGGTAGAATACTACATATCTACGTGCTAGGTAAAATTAACAGACATATTGACTACCTCAATCTTTGTTCATTCTGAACTCAGGACTTCTTTAATCTGTTTAGATTTAAGAGATCCAGAAGATAAAATTGTTTTGATAATATGACTTGCCGCTTTCTTTTAAGGAATTAAAACCCTTACTCTACCTGTTCGGGTGTTAAGAATTGATCAATAAAAGCACCTTTTATGAAAAATGATTGAATACATCCAAATGTTTCTAGTGTTCATATATTTTTATGACAAAATACCTTTATTTTGATGCTGTGAAATATTGATTGTATATTGTTTGAGCCGAGTCGGCAATTTTTTGGCCATATTTCGGCGGACAATTAGTTTAAATAAGGTTTTTGAAAGTTTTTGGTTTCTCTGGCGGCCCCCAATGAGCCTACTTTTTCGAACTTCAGGAAAACGATCTTTTACGTGCCAAGTGGGTTGTCATCATAGACACGGGACACCATTTAACGTCCCGTCCGACGGACTTACATATTTTTTTTAAAAATATGTAAACTGTTAAAAATATTGTATAAACTGTTAATAAAATAAATTGATATATGTACATGTAGTTCTCATTAAAATTATTTTCATACATGTAATTCTATTCAAATTTTACAATAATAATCCGTCTTGTAGATATTGTAAAATTTTATAAACATGAGCATTTGTAAAAAGTTCATACATTGTTTTCACATTTCCAAAAAGTCTACTTCGAATAGGTGTAAAATCGGAATATTCTAAAAGTATGTAATTTATAGTTATCGGACAGTCACAGGCTATACATTCTGGTTGTGACTCCCGATTCAATAAATATTCATGTGTAATTTTTGAATGACCAATACGTATTCCTGATATAATTACTTCGTTTTGACATTTCAGACCGAAGTCAGATGATTTGTTAACTTTGTTTACAATAGCATAAAGCTTACTTTCATCACAACAATTCCAATAAATTTGCCACAGAGAATCAACATAAATTTTATCTAGATATTTCGGTGTAAGGAATTTTGAATAAAGTATTTTCATGCTGAAGTGCAGCTTTTGCAGCACTGTCAGCATTAGTGTTTCCAGGGATGCCGACATGACCCGGAATCCAACAAAAGTTTACTGTTTTACCTTGTTGCGCCAAATGATAACATTGAATTAATATATCTAAAAATGTAAGGTTGATCAATATTCTTATTTTGTATAGATTGTAAGCGAGAGAGCGAGTCCGAAAATATTGTGAATATTTTTTCACTAGAAGATATTATACAATGTATATTCAAATGGAAGTTGAATGGCTTTTGCTTCTGCGGTAAAGATTGTTGTTTCATTTGGAAGCCGTGTAGAAAAAAAACACTGCCTTCCATTACAGCAGCTGATGCAACTTTTTTTTATCCTTTGAATCATCTGTATATATCTCGACTGTTGAACCATTAGAATGTTTTATTTAGGCATATTTTTGTTTAAAAACAAGAGAATTTGTGTCGATTTCTTAAATTCAGTTAACGATAAATCTACAGTTGGATTCATTAATTTCCGTGGTGGTATTTTCGAGAAATTAGTATGCTTTATAATATCCAAAGGTAAATCAGAATATCGGATGTTTTTTAGATCTTAGACCAAGATGTTTTACACATGATTTTCTGATGATAGAAGTCTTCGTTCTGCGGATGAAAAACACAATTATAAGCAGGATTATTAACATTTGCTTTAAATTTCAAAATATACTGTAAGGTAAGTTTAATTCTTCATTCTTCTTAAGTCGAGTGGCGCTTCGTTTGCCTCAACATATAGACTGTTTTTTAAGGAGAAGTTCGAAAAGCTCCCATGCACAGTCGAAGGCCTTGATGTGTATTGCATCAAGAGCATTAACGTACGAAGTTCTTGCAGAGCCATATACAATACAGCCATAATCTAACTTGGATCTTACTAAAGAGTGATAGTTTTAAAAGAGTATTTTAGACTACATTGTAACACCCATTGTGTTCATTTTTCTTTAATTTGATTTAGACCCTAAGCGTACTTTAAAATGTCTATCATTCAAGAAATTCTTGATAAAATTAGGTAAATGTCCTTTAAGACCCATAGTGTAAAGGTCTTCTAAAATGCCATGTCTCCATGTAGTATCATATGCTTTTTCTAAATCAAAAAACACAGATATAACATGCTCTTTTTTAATAAAAGCATCTCGAATATAGGTTTCCAGTCTCACTAACTGGTCAATAGTACTGCGGTTTTTCCTAAAACCACATTGAATATTAGTTAAAATGTTATTAGTTTCAAGAAACCATATAAGTCGTTCATTTATCATCCTTTCCATGGTTTTACACAAACAACTTGTTAACGCAATAGGACGGTAATTATTTGGATCTGTGTGATCCTTACCAGGCTTTGGGATGGGAATTATTGTAGCTTCGGTCCAGGAAGGTGGAAAAACACCCTGCTCCCAAATCGTATTGAAAATTTGGACCTTTACCTTTAATTTTTCTAATTGCATTCCAGACCTTATTAATAGGAGTATGAGAATTAAGGCTGGAAATGAATCTTTTCCAAGATTTTCGTTTATTAAAGTTAATAGTTCTGCGAGCTTTTGCTCTAAATATACGAAAATTGCTTAAATTTGCTGATGTTGGTATTCGATTAAATTGTCTCTCTGCCTTTTTGCGAGCTTTAATAGCATCGTTGCATTCTTCGGTAAACCATGGTTTTTTAATTTTAGAGGACTTTGTCGAGGTTTTAGGTATACATTTATTTGCAGTAGTTAATAGGATTTCAGTAAATTTTTTGATAGGATCCGGATTGTTCTCGAACGTTTTGGACGAAATATTTTGTAAGCATAAGTTTTCAAATTGTATCCAATCAGCCTTGTTTAGCTTCCAGTTTTGAATAGAAATATTTTCAATGGATACATCTAGTTTAATGATAATTGGGAAGTGATCACTTCCACATAAATCGTCATGTACTGACCAACTAAAATCCAAGAGTAAAGAAGGGTCTACTAAAGTAATATCTATTGAAGAATATGGACCATTACCCGGATGCAGATAGGTGCTAGAACCATCATTTAGTATACAAAGATTATGATGTGATATTGCATCCTCAATTATCTTTCCTTTATCTGTTATTTTATCGCTGCCCCATAATGGATTATGGGCATTAAAGTCACCCACAACCATAAATGGAGCTGGAAGTTGTTGTATTAACTTTGTAAGTTCTAAAGCTTGTAAATGATAGTTTGGAGGAACATATACAGAACAAAGGGTTATTGTTTTTTCAAGTGAAAGGCGTACAGCTACTGCCTAAAGATTTGTTTTTAAATCTAGTTGGCTATGAATGTATTTATTGTTAATTGCTAAAGAGGAACCACCAGATGCTCTTTCAGTTTGAGCATAGAAGTTATACATACTGTAATTTTTAATACTAATTTTATCTGTTTCTTTTAAGTGTGTTTCTTGTAAACATATAGCTACTGGGTTATGGTCCTGAATAAGTAATGATAATTCATTAAAGTTGACTTTAAAACCTCGACAATTCCATTGTATAATACTAGGATGATTCATTTTTTATGAGTAATGGGGGATATCCTCCCTTTACTTTTGGGGGGTGACGCACTTCGGACTCGCGAGGAGGGACATGGTGTAACGTCCATCTCCTCGAAGACCCCAAATTTATTGTGGAGAGTGACGGCCGCCTTAGGTAACCGATCACTCTGCTGTTTTGAGTTGTTCTTGGAGGGAGATCTGTTTTTTCTCCCCGATGATGATAATTTGCTCCAGGCTGCTGGCTGTGATGTAGCCACAGCTACGGTTTTTGGAGCAGCAGGAACTGCAGGACCTGCAGAAGCAGGCAATGAAGTGTTTTTACCCTTGTCTTGAGATGACAGGGGCGTTTGACATGATGAAGTCTGCTGAAGAAAGTCTTTCTCAGAGACTTGTGTGGACATGTCCTTCAAAGAGGACGATTTAACAACAGTTGCAAAAGTTAAATTTGGTTTTGGACTACTATATATGTTTACCAACTTTTTGGCCTCTGGATAAGGTATCCTTTTTTCAGCTTTGACCCTTTGTATTTCTTTTTCTTTTTTCCACATAGAGCATTGTTTGGAGGAAGCCATATGCCCGCCCTTGCAATTTTTGCATTTGGGGTCGTTATGGCAACCTTTACCATCATGCCCCTCCTCACCACACCTGAAGCATGTTTCAGAACTTTTACAATTGGATTGTCCGTGTCCAAACCTCTGACATTTAAAACAACGCAGAGGATTTGGAACGAACATTTCGACTTTCATATTGTAAAGCCCGACTTTAATACTTGTGGGTAATATTGGTATGCCAAAGGTCAGAAGGTAGGTATTTGTTGGTTCTATGTTATCATTACGCTTTTTGGTAAACCTTTTCACAGAGACCACTCCCTGGGATTCCAACTCCGATTGGATTTCCTGTTCAGGAATGTCATCCAGGTCGTGATCCCTGTCGAAAAGGATACCTTTGCTCTGATTTAATCCACTGTGGATTTTACCAACAACAGGAATATTGGCAAGCATTTTCAAATCTAACAAAGAAGTTGAGTGTTGTTTTTTGGTTACTTCAATAAGTAGAGCACCGGATCTCAACTTTTTAACAGATTTTGGAGTACCGATGATTCCTTGAATACCCTTTTGAATGACGAATGGCGATACCTTTGTTAAAGGCTTCGTATGTTGGTCTGATAGTTGTGCTTCAAGTGTGATGAAGCGGGGCCAGTGTTCCACGATAGAATTCAGTTGTTCATCGTTTAGAGTAATATCGAAACCTGCTGGATAGCAACGTTTTTTTGAGAGAGCCATGATTGTAATAGAAAGGATTCAGAATCCTTGCTCCCCGCCCGCCTCGGAGCGCCAACAAGGGCGATATCCAGTCAAACGGTCATCCAGTAAGACTGATACCAAGAGGATACAAAGAAACTATACTCAGACATG